TTGCTTAGGTATGGTTAGATTAGGTTTTAATTGTTAGATTAGGGTAGGGTAGGTTAGGTAGCTTAATAGTTATTGTCAATAATATATGGTTAACACTTTGCTTTCTTTTTTCTTTTTTTTTGGGGGGGGGGGGAGAGGAAACATAAGCAGAAAATGAATAATGTAGTCATCATAGAAAACACCGTGTCCAATTATAAAAATTATAATCAATGATTAAGTTGATTGGAAAATAGTCTAGAATTATAACATGTAATTACTGATTGTGTCTTTTGGTTGAGTATGTCTCGTTAAATTACAAATAACCCACTCTATAACCTAAAAAAAAAAAAAAAAAAAAAAAAAGTGTTTATGACGATCCTACACAAAATTCATTTTTCGAAGAATTAAAAATCCAAATTTCTAAATGTTTAGTGTTTCCTTATATCTAACCTCATACCCAGGGTGTATTTTCCAAAGGTCCTAAAACGAATACTGCTAGATGTCCTTTGTTTCCTTATACCTATCCCAACCTAACCTACCTTAAATCTTCGCAAACCTAACTCAAAACCTATCTACCTAAAGTAACGATTCTAATCTAACCTTATGATTCTAACTAAATCTAACCTTACGATTTTAATCTATTCTAACCATCCTAAACGTAACTTAAATTTAACCTAAACCAACATTTACTCAACCTAAAATAACGATTTCTAACCTTACAATTCTAAGCTAATCACTCTAACCTAAATGTAACATAAACTGAGTTAAACCATATCTAATCTAACCTAAACCTGACCTAACCCAACCTATCTAACATAACCTAACCTAAAATAACGATTTTACCCTAATTTAACATCTCTAAATTTTCCTAACCTTGCCATTTTACTCCAAATATTATATCCTAAAGAAAACCTGAAATAACCTAACCCATATTTAACCTAAGCTAAACCTAACCTAACCCATCCTATACCTAGCCTAAAATAACGATTTTACTCTAACTTAGCATTTCAAACTTAACAATTCTAACCTAACTATTCTAAACTAAATGGAACCTGAACTACCATAATCCATACCTAGCCTAACCTAAACGTGACTTAACCTAACCTAATCTACACCTAACCTAACCTAATCTAAACATTATCTAACCCAACCTAAACCTGATCTAGCCTAATTTATCTATCCATAATCTAACCTAACCCTAACCTAAATAACCGAACCTAATTTAACCTAACCTAACCCTAAGATTCTACCCTAACTAAACTTTTCTATCCTAAACCTTATCTAACTTAAACTATCTAATTTAAATGTAACTTGACCTAATATATCTAACATAACCTATCCTCAACGTAACCTAACGTAACAATTCTAAAACTTAACCTATCCATTCGATTCTAACCTAACTTAACCCAACCTAACCTAACTATTCTAACGTAACCAAACCTTATGGTTCTAACTAACCTAACCATTTTAACCTACAAGTAAACTAACCTAACTCAGACCTAATCAAACTTAACATAACTATTCTAACCTAACTTAACATAATGTTTATTTATATATACATAGAGAGAGAGAGAGAGAGAGAAGGAGAAGAGAGAGAGACAGGGGAAGAGAGAAAGACAGGGAGATGAAATATATATATACACATATACATAGAGAGAGAGAGAAAGAAGAAAAGAGAAGAGAGACGAGAGAGTGGGAGGGGGAGCGAGAGTAGAAGAGAGAGAAAAATGATGCGAGAAAGGTTGAGAGAGAATAAGAGAGAAAGGAGGAGAGAGGAAAGAGAGTGGGGGGGAAAGAGAGGAAGAGAGATGACTAGAGTTAAGCCATCTATGCGTAAAAGGCCAACCTCTGCAATACTTTCTTCACGGATCACCATAACTACGTATGTATAGAAATAGGAACTCAATACTTGGTGATGCATAATTCAGTTTCGGTTAATCTGAATGCTATTTACCCACATTTGATCAGCTGAGCGAGAGAAAGCATATTTTGTTGTTTCAACTCGAGGGTGGCTCTTAGAACTTCCTAGAAGGGAAAATAAACAAAATGTCTGCGAACTTACTCCTAATATATATCAAATATATGTATAGATAGATAGATATTTCTTTTTACATATTTTTATTTTATTTTACCTATTATCATTATTGTGTATTTGCGGGGCTTCAATAATTTTCATATATTGGTATGGTGCTTATTAATTTCTAAGATATTTTACTATCATTTTATTGCTAAAAATAACGGTAATATTAATTGTAGAAAAGAAAGACCAATACTGGGGGCAGTCATAATTACAATAAGAACTATCTATCGTTATTCTTATCGTTGTTAAATCCCCGGGACAGAGATGACGTGATGTCCCGCTTTCCTACTTAACACTTTCCATTCCCTCTTAGCATGGTCTGTCTTGATGTTGGGAGGTTTCTCCACATTAACCGTTTCCCAAACATTAGCAATATTCGCCAAGACATCTTTCATCGCGTTTCAGCCACGTGCTTAGCTTGGATGCGGAAAGACTTCCATGTTTTTTTGGTCATGAATCCACTTCGTAACTGGCCTTCAGTGTGTATTGGTCACTTGTCATGCACGGATAATGTAACCATTCCACTATTTTCTTATAGAGACTGTAATTACTTAATTGATATGGAGCAGTTACTTTTCACTTAGTAGGACTTTGATCACGACAGTCCGGTGATACTTCCTTGTTTATTCTTTATAATTAATTTTCGTTCAAGAATGTAACAAATGCACCCGGAATAAAAACATGTGATGGAACGGGCAATGAAGCACTTATGTTCCACAACTTTAATAATTTAATGCGAGTTTTATGCTGAATTCTGTAGTTTTATTAGCCTCTCATATTCCCTTAAATTTCATGCTTGTTCATGCCACATAGATAAAAAAATAAATGTATATATAATATATAAGTATATATATGTATATATATGTATATATATATTAAATATCACTATCCATGCGTATTATTAATAACAAAATATGTAATCAAGGTATGATTATGAACATCACACTAAATATATCTTCCAATATTATAAAAGCAGTAACGCCAAGCCCATGGCATGGAAGGTGCCCCAGTTCATATGTTTAAAGCATTCCTCAATGTTCTGAATTCCTTTATTGTCAATCGGGTAGCAGGACAGGTAGCAGTCACTTTTCGCCTTCTGATCGCTTTCCAAGGAAACATTTTTTTAGATCTAAATATAAATTAGATATATGTGCTCTCATTAAATGATTCTGCTTACTTAATGGTCCTGGTAACTTGTATGTAGCGTTTAAAATAAAGTTTCATTATAATCATTGTATTTTTGTTGGTAATTGAAGTGTTAATATTTATTATTGTAACAATAACTGTGAATACTATCACTATTTATATAATGATAATAGTGATAAAGCTGATAACATTCATAATAAATATAATGATAACAATAATAATATGTTGATCATAATAATAATTATAAGAAGCAATAATATGAAAAAAAATGACGATAATGTTAACAAAGAAGATCACCATAAATAATGATGATAACAATAATAATTATTATATTATCACATTACTATTGATAATTATAACAATAGTAAAAATAATAATAATAATTATGTTCATAAAAAATTTTAATAATAATATTAATCATAATAATGTCAGTAACAATAAAAAACATAATAATATCAGTAATAATAATAATAATAATATCAATAATAATGATGATAATAATGGCAATGATGATAATGTTCGGAACAATAATATTTCCAATAATAAGAATGGTAAACTAAAAGTAGCAACAATGACAATAGAACTTCTAATAATAAAATAAAATGTTGTGTTAAATGTTTACACAATAAAGTAAGCTTGGCCATTTATTGAGAAAAAAGTATTCCTTTAAATATGGATATAGTATAGATATAACCATTTTCATCTCAGTTATCAGTGACATTATCATTATCATCACTATTATTTTTATCACTATACTTATTAATAATAATAATGATAATAAAAATAGTAATGGTAATGATAATAACTCTAATTATCATAATAGTATAATAATAGAATATAATAATATCATAATGATAATGATAATTATCAGAAAGGTAATGGTTCTAATGATAATAATAATAATAGTAATAATAATAGTAGTAATGATAATAATAATAATAATGATACTATCAATAATAATGATTATAATATTA